GTTGGGGCAGGTCCCAGAGTCGCCCCGGTGCCGGGTCCTGGAGGTGAGTTCATTTAGATGCTGGAGCCCTTGAGGCTGCCTGGCCTGGGGCACAGCGAGTTGTGCTGGGCACGTTCCTGCCGCCAGTTCCGATCAAGTTCAGCCCTGCGGTTCGCGCTGCTGCGTCTCCGCTTCGGCTTCCGCGTGTTGGCAGTGGGATAGACTAATAAAGTTTCCTGAAAGACTCGCGTTCTGCCTGTTCTTCACCAATCCCGCGGGTCGTGTGTGAAACCACAAACCCGCCTGGCATGTGGGCACCGCCTGTGCTGCCACCTCGGGGGTTCCGGGGGGCACTGGGGTGACGTGAGCCCGGGCTGGTGCTGGAAGGAGCAGGTTCCAGACCCAGCGTTGCCCTTTGAATAAATAATTCCGCAGCGTGGGTGAGACAATCAATGCCGTTTTACCCGCCAAGATCTAAAAAAAAAAATGTTTATTCACAGGAATGAAACAAAAGCTGAAAAACGAGCCAGCAAAACCGAGAAGTTGCACGTGATGTCCTCTGGCCTGGAGTGCACGGAACGGTTAATTCCTCGTCACTTGGTGGCGGTAAAAGCCCATGTGGGAACATGATCAGTTGGCCAGAGGAAGAGCTTTAGGGCACGGTCAGTGCAGGGACTGGGAGAGAAGGGCTGAGGCTGCCTCAGAGTTTAGGTCCAACACCCCAAACGTCACTGCTGTGGCAGAATTGGCTCCCAGCAGGCGTGTTTAAATTCATTCGAAGACTTAGCATTTACATCTGTCTTAAATGTTTGTAAATCAGTTTTGGTCCCAGACTGGAGTTAAGGAGTTGCCAGCTTTTTCTTCAGGACAGGGAGATGCAAAGCTCTCCTGCCCAGAGAGGGAGGGCAGGGATCTGATGGGAGCATAAGGGTCACTGCTGCTGCTTTTTGCCTCCTTGCTACTCAGGACTAGAGAAAAATCCCACTCTCTTTTTTTTTCTTAGCCAGGTTGTGCTGCAACAGCCCAGGAGTGTGGGGGGGTGGCTGTAGGACCAGCAGCTGCATGTGGGTAGCCCCTGGTTGAGAAGCAGCCACGGGAGTACCCTACTCCCGAGGCCAAACACTCAATCCAAATGCAAATTTGTCCTTAAAACTGCAGCTTAAAAAAAGAAAAAGCCAAATACCTGACATGGACCAAAGGGGTGAGGAGTCCCCTGCAGAGAGCTGGCAGGAGAGTCTGAAACCTGCAGAATCAATGGCTACAGCATCCCCTGGCTTCCCTCAGTTACAGAGCTGTCCCAGGAGAACTTTGAAGATATCAAAGCACTGTTGCAGTCTGAAAATGCTACCACACTGACACGAAGGTATTTAGAATAAGCTGCAATACATTATTTCTTCTCAGTTAAAGTACTAGAAACAGCAGTAGTGAGAGAACAGAAGCCTTTCCTGAGCAGGTCAGCACTCAGGAGGCTGCAGGGCCAGGCCATAGGAGCTCAGTCCCACAGCCAAGCACTTGACTTCTGCAGGAGAGAGGAGGAACCTTCATCCAGGAGGTGTGTTACACCACGCAGAGTGAGTAACACCTTGCAAACAAGTCTGTGTGTGCCAGACCAGGGCTCTGAACAAATGAATTCCAGGTACAAGGGGAAAGAAAAGGGAATTTGGGACTGTTTCCTACCCAGGTGCTTGGTGGGGAGAAGGTGCTTGCTCCCCTTGGTCACACTATGATTCCTACCGACATGAAAGCAGCCTTGTAACGCCCCTGGCTGCTGCTGAGCAGGTGGACACAGCCAGGCCCACCCACTGCCTGGAAGGAGCCAGATCCCTGTCCCTGAACACCCACCTCCCACCCACACCAGGACGAGACCGGCAGGAGCGACCGGCGAGGGGAGCTGGAGGGATGGACACTGAGGGGAGCAGCACAGGGTGCACGGCACAACCAGCCTCCATCCCGGCCCAGGGAGCTGCTGCTGCTTCCACTCCCACGCCAGCTCCCCCCGAGGCAGACACAGACACACAGACATGCACACACCAGCCACGAGGAGAGCGCGGCGCACGAACACTGGGCGTGAGTCTCTGTACAAACGCACCAAGCGCGTTAGGACCTGCAGCAGCCTGAGCCTCTCACTTCCTTCTTCACGTAGTCGTGGAGCTTGAATTTGGGCTCGTTGGGCAGCTTCATGGACCTGTGCTTCAGTTCCCTGTGGGAAGGGAAAACCACGTTACCTCCTGCCAACGCTGCCCAGCTCAGCTGAACTCGACCCTGCCTGGATGGTTTACTAAAGCCCCCCATGATGAGACACTTCGTATCTCACGTGAGATGGGCAAGTACTTGCCAGCACAAGAGCTGGAGGTGGGACCCCAGGGGGCTGACAGTGCCAGGCTCTATCTCAAAGACTCCTGTCCCCACCAGGGCAGAGGTGCCCAGCCACACTAGTCACTTACTTTGCGATGGCTGTGAATGCTAATTCAACATTGAGGCCACTTTTGGCGCTGGTCTCCATGAAGGGCACGCCACATTCCTGCAGGAACAGACACACCAGCCTCAGAAATGTCACCTAGGGTGTCCCCAGGGGCTCGGGGGCTCCTACCCTGGGACAGGAGCTCTGCTAGAGTGTGCAGGAAAAGCTGAGTGAGGGTTCATAGCTCAGGTGTTTCTTACACAACTTCAGAAATTATTTGTGAGACATGAAAAACGTTAGTGGAAGCTTAAGGGAAGAAGGGCAGAGGAGAAAGAAGAGGAGATCAAGACAAAGGAAGAAAAACAAAAGTGCTCCCAGACATATTTTGGGTCAGACAGGTCTCCAGCTAACCATTTCACTGGTGTACATCATCAGGTGCACATTGGCACACTCACACATCCCTGGTCAGCACATGCAACAACCAACCCTGCTGCAGCAGATGCCTCAACATACCTTGGCTAATTTTTCTCCATCTTCCCTTTTCACCACTCTGTCCTGGGCTGAATCCACCTGCCAACAGGAAGGGCAAAGAGCAATTTGGGATGATGTGGAAGGTCAGCAGTAGAGACCTCCATGTCCCCTCATGCCCTCCCAGGCTCCCCTGGCTCTGTCATGAGACCCCCAGGGGAGAAGGAGGAGGCTCTGGTGAGGGGCTGGGCTCACCTTGTTTCCCAGTAACATGAGGACCACGTCTTGCTGTGCGTATTCATGAATCTCTGTCAGCCAAGCCTGGAGGGAGACAGAGAAAGGGGTTAGCAACAGCTCCAGGGGGAGGAGGACAGCAGGCTGCCCCGGTCCTGGGCAGTTCAGAAGAAGCCAGCCAGCAGCCAGGGACTTGGCCCTGGAGACACCCTTTCCCAGAGAGCCCTGAGAATGAGTGGGTACCCCAAGGTGCCACTGAGCCCCAGGTGTCCCCCTGTGCCAAGCCCAGCACCCCACTGCAGCTGCTGACTGAGCCCCAGTTCTCAAGGATGACAGCAGCCTTTCCACCCTGCTGCCTGCTCTGTCTGGCCACAGGCACTTGGAGGACCCTAACCCAAATTTCCCCTCAGTTGGGACATTAAGACTAAAAAGGATATCCTAAAAAGGATAAGGCCAAGGCTTGCTGCAGGATGTGTCCCATGCCTGTGTCCTGCACATGCTACCCCAGTGCCAAACACACTTATTCCAGCGGGTGGACAAACCTGGGTTGGCTTCCCTGCCCTCTCATCCAGCCTAATCTCATCAAACCTGCCCTAATTCCCTGCAATCCCTGACCCTGGGGTTGGAGTGGCTTCTTGCTGCCTCCCTGAGGGCATTGCTGCCCGTGCCCCGGCTCCCAGCACTGACACTGGGTGATCCCTGCTCCAGCATCACTCCTCACCCAGCAGTGCCTGCACCAGCGCCCCGCTGCCCAGGGGAGGGAGGGATGACTGGGATTCGAGCCCGACGCCAGAGATGCAGCCCTGGGACCCCATCACATCCTGGCTGGGCTCGGGGTTCTCAGCTCCACGGATGGGTCGGTCCAAGGGACACTCGGTCACTCCTGACAACCCCCCCGGCTCCCTTCTGCACCCTCCCTTGTGGCCAGCAGCTGACACCCTCTCCACAAGCCATCCAGCTCCTCAGGCTGGAAAATGCCACCACCGGGCAGTCCCAGCTTGCAGGAGGTGTTCCCGGTGCCGGGCACAGGGCAGCAGGACATGCCCCGTCCCGCACCACGGGGCTGCAGGTGCGGGACAGACCCGGGGCTGCTGCTGGAAGGATGCTGGGAGGCAGGGGGAGGCAACAGGCCCCCCCGGCCGGGGGGGGG